GGGGCCCGGGCACGGCGGGGGGCGGGACACAGGAATTGGGGGCGGGGCAGAAAAGTTGCCCCGGCTGGGTTGAGCCAGCTGTGGTGGTTGCAGACACGGGGGAGGGGGCAGAGGGGGGTTTTCCTCCCCACCCTGGCAGGCTCTTAACTCCCTTTTCCCGGGGCCGAGGCCTTCCAGGTGCAGGGCAGCTCTGCAGTGTCCCCTCTGGTGGTGCCTGACCCTGTGAGGAATGAATTTTGTTCTGTGCACCAGCGTGGAGGAGAGGGGTGGGACTCATCACGTCCCTATCGGTGCCCAGAACAGACTTGAGACCACACACTTAGGGGTTGGGGCCAGGGGCTTCAGAGTGTGGGAGGGGGCCAGGGCTTGGGTGGAGGAGGGGGGCTGTGGCGTGGGGCTGGGGATGAGGCGTGTGGGGTGCCAGGCCCAGTCTGTGCAATACAAACGTGTGCCAAGGGCATCCCACACTGGCCTGGTGTGTCTGGGCTGCCTGTGGGGCCCAGCTTGTTCCAAAGCATCCAGAAAGAGAGGGGGGGGCAGCTACTAGATATTCTCTGTATTTGTTTCCAAAGCGGCCGGGGATGTTTTCATTAGAGGCAAGTCACCTGGCTCCTCTTCCTCTCCTCTCCACTCACCTGCTAGGAGAGGCAACCAGCACTTGGCCGGGACATGGGGGTGTCCGACATCCCTGGGTCACAGAGTCCCAGGCCCGGTGCCCTGGGCCCGCTCTGAATGGAGCCAGGCAAAACTTGGGTGTGATATGTGTCCCATTAGGGCTCTCTTTCCCCAGGGCCAGACGTCCCCTGGGTCTGAGTTCGGAGCGTCCAGTGCCCTTTTCGCACCGTGAGCTCCCTGCCAAACAGGTCACCTGGCCTCCCCCTGCCTCTTTGTTCCCCAACCCCTTGGGCAGGCTCTTTGCAGAGGCCTGCTGCGGCCGGTTGCTCCAACCAGCCCTGTCGTCCTGGGAAAGGGGTCTGCTCTGGCCAGGCTGGAGCGCCCCAGCCCGAGACGGGTCCTGTGGTCTGGCCTGGGGCAGGAAAGCGGGCTGCCCCTACCCCCTCTGATTAACTGTTAAGCAGTTAACCGATTAACCACTCAGATCCCTAATTAATAGTGTTAGTCATTTCTATGAAATGGGTGTAACTTTGGGTGTGTCTACACTGCACCCTGAGCTCGAAATAAGCTAGACAAATCACGTAGCTTATTTCGAGTGTATTTTGAAAGAGCTTTTTTCATCATTTGGCGCTGCCGAGACAGCACCACATTTCAAAGGAAACTGAGCCTCTGAAATGTCCCTTAATCCTCATGGAACGAGGTTTACCAGGATGTCGGAATAGTGCGTGGCTGCTATTTTTAAAGATGTTTCGAATAATAACGGGCGCACTGTCAAGATGTGGAACAGCTATTTCGGGATACCGGAAATATCCTGAAGGAGCGCTGCAGTGTAGACATAGCCTTTATGAGCTAACGATGTCTAAAACTTTAACTATAATCTTAGGGAAATAGGGGAAATTACTTGGTTCCCCATCAAAATGGCCTACTTGGCAGTAAGAAAGACATTTGGATTTGTGACAGGATATTCCAAGGGAGCTTTTCATGGCTCACCATGCAAAACTGGCCATTTTCAGACAAGGTTCCCCTCTCTGTCGGAGTCTTCAACTTGGCCAGTGTCACCACACATGACGAAGATGATTGATTCCAGAACTTCGCTCCCTGCAGGACCTCAGAGAGGGAAAAGCCTGCAGAGCCCGAGAGTCCCAGCACGTGACTGTAGGGGCAGGGTCCGGGGGGACTCAGAGGGCGACAGAGACTCAAGCCTCTTCTGACACCTCCCTCATCGCCCCTCTCGCCCGAACAGGCTGAGGAGACACGTCGAGAGTTCGCTCCAGAGCGCCCGTCTGCCAGGGGCCGGGGCCGGGCAATGGCCGGGATGGAGCCTGCTCAGGTAGGGGGTTCAGGGAGCTGCTGAGCGGGGGGAGGGAGGAGACAGGGTGGGATAAAGCTGCTGGGTTTCTGAGCAGGCGCATAGGCAGGGTGTGACCATGCCCCTATTTCTAACCCGGCTCCCCTGGGCAGGGCTGGGACAATGTCCCAGACTCCCAATGCTGTGATCTGAGCCCCCAGCCAGAGGTTGCTGGGAAACACAAAGGGAAGCTGCCGGGATTCCTGTCCCTGCCCGTGGCTCAGAGCTCGGCTTCCGCTTCAGCCTCTGGCTAGCAGGTGTGTGGCCAGGGAGAAGGCCCTGCCCTCTGTCTGCTGAGGGGGAGGGGGATCTCTCTGCCCATCCCCTGAAGCCTCCTGGCTGCTCTAAACAGGCTGGGGGTGGGATTCTACTCCTGCCTCCCAGAGTTTTTAACCAGTGACGACTGGGATCAGAGCTGAAAGTAAGTCCTGTACCCTGGTGTGTTGTTCTGGCAAGAAACTGGCCAGCTGGGGCACTTAGCTGCGGTGGGAGAAGCGAGGGGTTCCTAGGGCTTCCTGCAGACTGCCCCACTAGAAAGAGACAGCCTGGTAGGTTATAAGGGCTGGCTGGGAGGGCGGGGAGTCTAGAATCAACCCATGCAAGCGCTGTATTATATGGGGCAGGGGTATCCCTGAGTTGTTGTGATAGGACAGTACCTATAAAAGAATATAAATTACTTCCACCTCTGGGATGGTGGCTGGGGCCGCAGGCAGTGGGTGAGGGACTTTTGTTGTTGCAGATGCGGGTGACCTTCGAGGAGGTGGCTGTGTATTTCACCCAGGGGCAGGGGGCGCTGCTGGGCCCCGCTCAGAGAGCCCTCTACAGGGACGTCATGCAGGAGAACTACGAGGCGGTGACCTCGCTGGGTAAGGGCGTCCTGGCCCCTCGGGGATTAGGAGCCGTGGGGTCTGCGTGTCCGACACGGGTCAGGTTCTTCCCTGCTCAGGTGGCCTGGACAGGAATGGGTTCCATGGGCACCGCTGCCGGGCGAGAGCGACTTGTGTCTTTGTACCCTTTCCAATCGGTTAAAAAATAATGGACATGCTAAAGTCTCTCTTCCCCTCCAGGTTTCAATCCTGTGTGCATTGATTGCCATTCACACACACAATCCTGATTTATCTTCCTTCTCGGAACTGGCTCCAGCCGTGGGGAAGGCTCTGCAGATTTAGAAATAGGCAGGGGTGTAACTGCAGAGCTGTGAGTGTCAGCAAGGGCCCCAGACTGCCCAGATCCTGGGAACTCCTAGGGAGGGCGTCACAATTCCTCTCACCTCCCCACATGTCTGCCTCTCCCCAGGGGGCTCAGTGACCATGTTCCCGTCCTCTTGGGTTGCACATTCCCCAGCAGAGCCCGGGGACAGGTTCCACTCACGGAATGTCCCTTGGGACAGACGCTCTCCCCACCCTCCCTGTATCCTGATCTGCTCTGATTTCACCCCCTGCGCAGGGTTTCCCGTTCCCAAACCTGAACTGATCGCCCGGTTAGAACGAGGGGAAGAACCCTGGGTACCCGACCGCCATGCCGGGGAGGAAAGAGAGATCCTGAGAGGCACCCACACAGGTGAGGACTGTCACAGCATCCAGCAAATGAAGGAAAAAGTTCAGAATTCCAACCATGAGGTATCAGTAATTGCCCTTTGTTCTTCCTCCTGTCACGCAGGGCAGGGTGTAGTCCAGCTGATATTGCTCACAGTTTCCCACCAGTGCTGTTAGCTGCAGGAGTTTCCTTTCCTGTGGGTGTTTTTGTGGGAAGTGGAGAGACAATCCAGTTGCTTGGTCTGTGCAATTTCAGTGTGTTGGGTTTTCCCTTGGTGCTGCTCCTCTTTCTCTCCAACTCAGTGATTCCTGCCTGGATTGTCTGTCTCCCAGCAGGTGGCAAGACAGGGAGTGAGAATGAAGAGGGGAATCAACAGCAGGAGGTTCCTAGGGAAATGGAACCGCAAACGACCTTTGTGGGAAGAGCTGAAAGGAATATTTCCCAGGGTTTGGAACAGGGAGAAGGATGGAGAAATTGGCACAGGCCGGAGAGGCTGCTGGGAAGCCACCCAAGTGAGCAAATGGATGAATCTGTTAAATATGGGGAAGGACACAAGGATCCCACCACCCAGCAGACAAACCCCAAGGAAGAGAAACACCAGGAATGGCTCAGTTATGGGAAGGGATTTATCATGATCCCAGAGCTTATTACAGTGCAGACAGTAGATACTGAAGAGAAATCACTTCAGTGCTTGGACCATGGGGAAAGCATCAATAACAGCTCAGATCTTCATAGTCCCAGGAGAAGCCAAGTGGGGGAGAAAGCCTATCAATGCCTTAATGGAGGGAACTGTTCAAACTGGAAGTCAGCAGTGATTATGCATGCGACAAGCCACACAGGAGAGAGACCTTATAAGTGCTTAGATTGTGGGAAAAGCTTCATACAAAAGTCAGCCCTTGTTTCACACCAGAAGGGCCACACGGGAGAGAGACCTCATAAATGTTTAGACTGTGGAAAAAGTTTCATACAGAGGTCAGGCCTCACTAAACATCAGGTAATTCACACAGGGGACAGACCCCATATGTGCTTAGACTGTGGGAAATGTTTCAAATGGAAGTCAGGCCTTGTTTCACATCAGAAAATCCACAAAGGAGACAGACCCCATAAGTGTTTCGACTGTGGAAAAAGTTTCATACGGAGGTCAACCCTTGTTTCACATCAGAAAATCCACACAGGAGAAAGACCCTATAAATGCTTAGACTGTGGTAAAGGATTCATACAGAGGTCAGCCCTTGCTTCACATCAGAAAATCCACACAGGAGAGAGACCCCATAAGTGCTTAGACTGTGAAAAATGTTTCAGAGAAAGGTCAGGGCTCTTTAAACATCAGGCAATCCACAGAGAAGAGAGACCACATAAGTGCTTAGACTGTGGAAAAAAATTCATACAGAAGTCAGCCCTTGTTTCACATCAGAAAATCCACACAGGAGAGAAACCCCACAAGTGCTTAGACTGTGGAAAAAGTTTCAGAGAAAGATCAGGGCTCTTTAAACATCAGGCAAATCACGCAGGGGACAGACCCCATAAGTGTTTAGAATGTGAGAAAAGTTTTCTATGGAGATCAGCTCTTATTTCGCATCAGAAAATCCACACAGGGGAGAGATCCCATAAATGCTTGGAGTGTGGTAAATGTTTCATACAGATGTCAGGTCTCTTTAAACATCAGGCAATCCACACAGGAGACAGACCCCACAAGTGTTTAAACTGTGGACAACGATTCATATGGAGGTCAGCCCTTATATCACACCAGAAAATCCACACAGGGGAGAGATCCCATAAGTGCTTGGAATGTGAAAAAACTTTTATACATAGGTCAGCCCTTGTTACACATCAAAAAATCCACACAGGGGAGAGACCCCATAAATGCTTAGACTGTGGGAAAAGTTTCATACAGAGGTCAGGCCTCATTAAACATCAGGCAATCCATTCAGGAGACAGGCCCCATAAGTGCTTAGACTGTGGGAAAAGTTTCAAATGGAGGTCAGGTCTTGTTTCACATCAGAAAATTCACACAGGAGAGAGACCCCATAAGTGCTCAGACTGTGGAAAAGCTTTTATTCGGAGGCCAGACCTTCTTAACCATCAGGCAATCCACCGTGGGGAGAGAGACCATCAGTGTTTACACTGTGAAAAAACTTTCATACGGAGGTCAGCCCTAATTTCACATCAGACAACCCATACAGGAGAGAGACCCTATAAGTGCTCAGCCTGTGGAAAAAGTTTCAAACGGAAATATGACCTTATTTTTCATCAGGCAGTCCATGCAGGTGAGACAACCCATAAGTGCTTAGACTGTGGAAAAAAGTTCCTATATAAGTCAGACCTCATGAAACATCGGGCAATCCACACAGGACACAGAAACCATAAGGCTGTGTATAGACTGGCCAGTTTTTCCGGAAAATCAGCCGCTTTTCCGGAAAAACTTACCAGCTGTCTACACTGTCCGCTTGAATTTCCGCAAAAGCACTGACTTCCTACTGTCAGAAATCAGTGCTTTTTGCGGAAATACTATGCTGCTCCCGTTCAGGCAAAAGTCCCTTTTGCGCAAGACTTCATGGAGTAGTGAGACCTTATTAAACCTCAGGCAATCGAGACAAAACACAGAAACCATAAGCTTTAATATTAAAATTATACGGAGGTCTGACGTTAAATAGCATGCAATCCACTCAGGAGACAGAACCCACAAGTGCTTAGATTATGGAAAAAGTTTCATACGGAGGTCAGAGCTTCGCAAAGATCAAGCACTCCACAAAGGAGGGAGACCCCCTAAATGTTTGGACTGCGGGAAAAGTTTCACACAAAGATCAAATCTTAGCACATGAGAGGCTCTACATACGAGAGACCCCCATGAGTAACTGGACTGAGGCTGTGTCTAGACTGGCCAGTTTTTCCAGAAAACCAGCCGCTTTTCCGGAAGAACTTGCCAGCTGTCTACAGTGGCCGCTTGAATTTCCGCAAAAGCACTGACGATCTCGTGTAAGATTCTCAGTGCTTTTGTGGAAATACTATGCTGCTCCCGTTCAGGCAAAAGTCTTTTTCCGAAAACTTTTGCGCAAAAAGGCCAGTGTAGACAGCAGAGATTTGTTTTCCGCAAAAAAGCCCCGATCGCGAAAATGGCGATCGGGGCTTTTTTGCGGAAAAGCGCGTCTAGATTGGCCACGGACGCTTTTCCGCAAAAAGTGCTTTTGGGGAAAAGCACCCTGCCAATCTAGACACGCTTTTCCGAAAATGCTTTTCACAGAAAACTGTTCCGTTAAAAGCATTTCCGGAAAATCATGCCAGTGTAGACGTAGCCAGAGTGAAGTTTCATCCCGAGGTCAGATCTGTTTGAATATCAGTGAGCCCACGCTGGAGTTTGATCCCGTGGGTTCTTGGGCAGTGGAAAATGTTTTAGAAACTGATCAGCCCTTCTCACCATCAGGGTATGTTTGAGTTCACCTCTTACACGTACTATAGTGCTATCTTTTTATCATGAAAGTGGAAATAAAAAATGTTGATGATTTTTCTTAGCCTCCATCTATTCCTCAAGGTGTTTCTTTAGCTCAGTCATGGTTGCTTTGGCTGCTTGAGGGCTGTCTCTCAGCTCTCCATAAAGACCGAGGATTTGGGGATATTTCTTCTCAACTCTAGTAGAGCGTTAGTGCCAAAGGTCACTGGTGAACTCTGTGTCTGCAACTTTATGTAGACTGGGGTTTTTAAACCAAAAGGCGCTTAACCTGTTCTTTCTCCACCGAGGGCTGCCCACCTCCTTTCCATACGGTGTTGCCTAATGCAGTAATCTGGGAGCTGACCTTGTCTGTGAAGACGGGCAAAAAAAGCGTTGAGTATTTTAGTTTTTCCCAGGTCATCTGTCACTAGGTTACCTCCCTCATCCAGTAAGGGCCCCACACCCTCTCTGATCACCCTCTTATGCAGGGGGCGGGGGGAGGGAGAGAAGGATAGCTCAGTGGTTTGAGCATTGGCCTGCTAAACCCAGAGCTGTGAGTTCAATCTTTATGGAGGCCATGTAGGGATTTGGGGCAAAAATTCATCAGGGATGGTACTTGGTCCTGCTGTGAAGGCAGGGAACTTGACTCAATGACCTTTCAAGGTCCCTTCCAGTTCTAGGAGATAGGCAATCTCCATTATAAAATAATGATAGAAATGTAGCCGTGTTAGTCTGGTGTAGCTGAAACAAAATACAGGACTATGTAGCACACTGGAGTATTCATAGCTAGCTTAACAGACACCTGTATTTCCCATGAATAGTGATGATGAGGAGCCGGATCTGGCAACCCAATTCTGTTCCCACTGAAGAGAGAGGCCACTAGATCACTCCTATATATGGCAGCAGGCTGGTTCAAATTCTGCCCTCAGTTATAAGTGGGCAACCAAGCAAATGGACACTGAATAGGTGCAACTGAGGGCAAGGCTTACATATGGGAGCAAATGCCATATTTGCATTAATTAGGAGCAAAAAAAATGCGCACTCATTTCCAATTGAACCTTGCTTTGAAATTCACTTTCTGTGGATTTTGTGCTAGTAAATTGGACTGTTTCCCTTGTGTAAATATTCAATGGGATATATATATATATCCTATTGAAAAAATATATATAGTGAATTCATTTAATATTTCACGTGAACGTTCACAGAGCATTTTAAAATTATTCATCTAGCTCATAGTATCATGGAGCAAAGATTAGCATTGGGAAGCTAATGTCAGGTTCTCTAGTGTCTATGAAGTCCTGACCAACAACATTTAGAGATTCTGAGAGCAGCAATTTCCAGCTGAGACTAATTTTAAGTTTTTTTAATTCTGAAAAATGTAGGGACTGAATTGGATTATGTATATTTTCCAGCAGGGTTTTGATTCTAACATAGCTTGTTTCAATGCTAATATAAACAATTTTTTGTTTTACTGGATAAACAAGCTGATAAAAAAAAATTAATTCATAATGTCAGAGCTGTCCATCTTCAAAATAATCCTTAGAAAGGGTTGACAGTTCTATTGGACTTAGATTTATAGAAGACAAGGGAAAATGTTAATATAGTGTAAAGAGGAGAGTGACAGATTAAAGATATACATGCTTTATTTACTGTAAAAACACAGATGAGATGCAACATCTATGGTCTGTTACTCACTTTAGTATTCAAGTACCAAACTGTCTAGTATTAAGATATTGTTGGCGGCTATACTTGATTGCTGAATAATGCTGAAGATTTTTGTAAAGCTCTAAGAACATGTGAATACCAAGTTGTTCCACATTGTTTTTCCATTCAAGACTATCTAGAGGAGGAACATGCTATAAACAGAGGAAAGTGAGAATTCTTTATCTCATCACATTCAGCTAATTGATTTTTCTAAGGTCATTCTGAATTCTAGATCTTCCCTGATACAAAGGAATGCTATATACCAGGGGTGTCCAAACTTTTTTCAAAGAGGGCCAGATTTGATGAAGTGAACATGCGTGAGGGCCGACCATTTTGCCTGACATTCTTTGAACCATTAAAATTAAATGCAAATTAACTATTTTATGCAAAGTTTATTGCAAACGGCATACTTTTCATTTCGTCACATGGATGACAAATCTAAACAGGTGTTAAATCACTCTGCCTTTCATATCTGAAGGCCAGATAAAAAAAAATCCAGGAAGCTGAAATATATGTCAGGAACATTGTAAAGTACATTACATATTATTGGTAATAAAGGTTGTCTGTCAACTTTTAAGTTCAAAAAATATGAACAGGAACATAACACCAAGTATACATGTTGTGTCCAAATATATTTATAACTGATTTAGACCAACTGACATTAACTGAGATTTTACAATGTATTCATCTCAATACATATGGATTCGGTGGGGGCCATAAAAGATAGATATTGCCAAATTACCTGTGGGGCCGTATTAAACCGGAACACGGGCCGCAATTGGCCCGCGGGCCGGACTTTGGACATGCCTGCCATAGACTCTCAACAAGCTTTTCTCCCTCTGTATTCTGCCGCTCTGAGCAATCATAGTGCTCCCTTACATACAGTGCAACTCCTCCTTTTCTCCCCCGCCTGTTCTTCCTGAAGAGTTTATACCTTCCATGACAGTGCTCCGGTCATGTGAGTCATCCCACCAACTCAAATCATATTCTTTCACTGGGCCAGGGCTTCTAATTCTTCCTGTTTGTTTCCCAGGCTTCTTGCATTTGTGTACAAACACCTTAGATAGCCAGTTGATTGCCTTACCTTCTTCATTTGAATCAGGGGTCCTCTTTTGTTGCTCCTTCCTCCTTGTGTTTCTTCCCAGTATCCCACTTCTGGGCTTAGGTCACTGTCCCCCAACGAACCTAGTTCAAAGCCCTCCTCACTAGGTTTCCTCTCCTTCCTCATTAGCATTTCTCGTGCTCTCATTTGCATAGTCGCTTCCGATCTGTTTTGCGGAAGAGGTTTTTGAGCAAAAAAACGCAGGGTAGACAGGGCAAAAAACCCTTTTGCTCAAGATAAATTATAAATAAATTAATGGAGATTGCCTATTTCCTAGAACTGGAAGGGACTAGTTGAAAGGTCATTGAGTCCAGTCCCCTGCCTTCACAGCAGGACCAAATACCATCCCTGACAAATTTTTGCCCCAAATCCCTAAATGGCCGCCACAAGGATTGAACTCACAACCGTGGGTTTAGCAGGCCAATGCGCAATCCCTCTCCCCTGTCTCCCTGCTTTTTTGAGGACTAAGGGTTCTTGCGCAAAAGGTTTTTTCCTGCCAACTGGCCCCATCTACATTGCATTGTTTTGCACAAAAACCTCTTCTGCGAAACGGCGAGGACTAAGGGTTCTTGCGCAAAAGGTTTTTTCCTGCCAACTGGCCCCATCTACATTGCATTGTTTTGCACAAAAACCTCTTCTGCGAAACGGCTTGGAAGAGACTATGCAAATGAGAGCACGAGAAATGCTAATGAGCGCTTCATTTGCATTGCCTCTGCCGACACATTTCTGCAGTGTAGACATAGCCTTGGTTAGGTGGATCCCATCTCTTCCTAGCAATCCTTGGGCCCCGAACAGAATCCCATGCTCAAAGTAACCAAAACCCTCTCTCCAACACCACCTGCACAACCACTCATTTACTTCCTCGATTTGACGATCCCAACCTGGACCTTTTCCTTCAACAGGGCGGCTGGACGACAACACCACTTGCGCTTCAAATTCCTTGATCCTTCTTCCCAGCGCTACATCATCTGCAGTGACCTGCTCAAGGTCATTCTTGGCCGTATCGTTAGTTCCCACATGGAGAAGCAGGAAGGGGTAGCGATAGAAGAGGATAAACTACGGATGAGCTCTGATGCGGCACAGATGTAAAAGAGTCCCTCCTCTTTCCCCCCGCAGTCTGATTTTTGCAATGGCAGGCGGCTAAAGAGTGACCAGTTTTGAACATGCTGATGTTCGATTGCCAGGTCAGGGGCACAAGAGTATTTGTGGTGGCACGTCGGGTACCCCCCCCCCAATCCTGCACCCCGTCTGCAGCAAGATGAGACTCCGCCAACCAGTAGTATAGAAAGGGTTTATTGCTCCTCCAGGATACAGCACAGCATAGACGTGATGTGGTTTCAGGAGTCAGGGCCAGGATGCCTCAGACCTCTTGGATTAGGGAGTCCATTGTCATCGGTAGACCCTCAGCCTTCAGCTAAGGCTGCTTCCTTCATGTTTCCCAGCCAACAACTGCCTCTTCCCCCGAAACCTGGTGTTGGTCTCCGCCTCTCTCCTCCTGGGAATCCCCTGTTATCTCCTCAGGCTGAGCCTAGGTGTCTGGGTTAATACACATTTGGGTGAGTCAGTGGGAATCACACATCACAGAGCAGGGGGATCCCGGGTTACAGAGCAGACAGCACCCCCACTACACCACCGTATTAAATGAGGCTGGCCACAGAATGGGCATTGCACAGACTTGGTGGAATGAGGATAATCCATGGGACTCAGTAATACCAGAATACGAGATCCACTGGAAGGAGAAAACAAGCCATTTTGTCAGGCTAGACAGGCCAGGAGGGAGCACCCAACAAGTGCACAACGTGGATTAGTCCTCTCCCGGGAGGAGTCACCTGGGGAAACGCAGCCCTAGCCCCTCTGAGCCACTGGCCGGGGAGCTCTGCCACGGTCCTCTTCTGCCCCCCCACCTCTTTCCCCCGCCCTTAGCTCTGCACACCTTCCAGCCCTTAGCAGCCCAGACCCTCACCCTCACTCCAGCTTTCCATTTTTTCTTCGTTTTTAACAAATGCAATTATTGAGCACGTATTTTCTTGTAAGGGAAGTTAGAAATATAAAGTGCAAACCTGTTTGTTACTCTAGGACAGTGGTCCCCAACACGGTGCCCGCGGGTGCCATGGCACCCGCCGGGGCATTTATGTACGCCCGAGGAATGATCTGGGCTGGCCCCGCCCCCGGCGCACGCATAGTGCCAACCCCGGGTGTGTGGCTCATGGGCGGCCCCTGCCCTGGGCGCACGGCACATGCGCGGTGCTCGCCCCAGGCGCATGAACGGCCCCGCCCCTGGGCACGTAGCGCGTGAGCGGCCCCGCCCCCAGACGCCCGGCATGTGAGCAGCCCTGTCCCCGGGCGCTCGGCAGCCCCGAAAGGCTGGGGACCACTGAGATAAAGCATGGACATTTTTCACTTATTCCCTTCCCCTCCCCCCAAAAACACCAATTTCAGTTAAAGACCCAAGCAATGCTAGGTACACTGCTAGTTCAGTGTTTCTCAGCGTTTTTTTATACATTACCCCTCTTTCAAAAAAAAAAATTATAAGTACCCCCAGTACATACAGTTTCCAGACACACAATTTTTTTTTCTACCATTGCAACACGTTTGTTTAAACAATCGTAGCCGGGTGGATGATGAAATTTGTGGGTGTAAAAAGTACAAAAATAATAAAACACTGTAAAACTTAAATCCAAAATTCAGTTTTCTCCAAATTTCAGTTGTGTTGATGTATCCCCCAGACTTCTCTTGAGTACCCCTAAGGGTACTTGTACCACTGAGTGGGAAACACGGGGCTAGTTTATAGGAGAACCGGAAGCCCTGGGAAAGGGGTGGGTTTTCCATAACACGCAAGGGGAGGAGGTGCTGTTTGGAGGGAAGCAATACAAGAGCAGCCACTGGGGGCAGCTGTACCACCAAGGGACAGGCCAGCAAGACGGAGGCTCTGCCACCTTGCCCCAAACTCTTTGCCCCCTCCCAACACTTGGCCCATGGTTGGGCTGCAGGACAGAGTGGCCACTGGAGCCTCCCCCTCCCCTACAGCCTGCAGACTGTAAGGGGGGGGGGGGGAGAGTGCTGCAGACCTGGTCCAGGTCCCAGACCCTTTACACACACCCAGTGCAGACAGCCTGCAGGCTGGGAGGAGGCACAGGAGGCCAGGGCCAGCCCTCGGAGCCTTGACACCCCCCCCAACCAAGTGCAGGAAACGGGGGGCAGGAAGGATTAGAAGCTGGGACTGGCCCCCAACCTCCTGCCTCCCTAGACAGGCTGCAGGCCATGGGGTGGGCATTAGAAACTGCTCCCCCCCCCATCAAGCTGGAAGATCTGCATGCCGCAGCTCACTGCCATGGACCCCTGGGATGAACTGCTGGCACAGCGGCACCATGCTCGCTGCCCCCCATGGGCCTACTATCTGCCCCCTGCCCTGTGTCCCGCACTCCGCCCTCACTCCGGCACCCCAACTCCACACCTAATCCAAACCCTTCCCCCTCCCCTCCTCTGCTTTGAGCCCCCTTAACCCATCCCTTTGCCAAACAACAATGTAAACAAAGCGGCTATGTCTACATTGGCATGATTTTCCAAAAATGCTTTAAACGGAAAAGTTTTTCGTTAAAAGCATTTTCAGAAAAATCGCGTCTAGATTGGCAGGATGCTTTTCCGTAAAAGCACTTTTTGCAGAAAAGCATCCGTGGCCAATCTAGACGCGCTTTTCCGCAAAAAGAGCCCTGATTGCCATTTTCATGATCGGGTTTTTTTTGCAGAAAACAAATCTCTGCTGTCTACACTGGCCCTTTTGCGCAAAAGTCTTTCGGAAAAAGACTTTTGCCCGAACGGGAGCAGCATAGTATTTCCGGAAAAGCACTGATGATTTTACATGAGATCCTCAGTGCTTTTCCGGCAATTCAAGCGGCCAGTGTAGACAGCTGGCAAGTTTTCCCGCAAAATCATGATTTTGCGGAAAAACTTGCCAGTCTAGATACAGCCAGCATGTCCATTTTCCTTTCCATTTACAACAACAAACCTCAAACATGACCACCCTTAGGGACCTGAGCAATGCCCAGGGACTTCTGCTAGTCTGCTGTACATTTCAGCGACTTTTCTCTGTCCCTCTATCCCCTCAAGAACACCTCTTTAATCGGTAAAAGCCAGGACCACCACATTGGATACCTGGCTCCCCCTTAGGACGTAAGGCTTGGAGGTGCCAGGAAAACGGGCTGAGCCGGAACTGGGATTGGGTCTCATGAAACCCCACGGGAAAAAGAGAAGCACAGGGCAGAATAAAGGGCTGGTGGGAGTCAGGGGGACCCCCACCACAGCACAGGTCTGACCCGCAGCACCACCAGGGCCAGGCCCAAGGGCTGGGTGTGAGGAAATGGCTCTTATATCCCAGAGATGCTGTTTGTACTTCGGTTTCCCCCCATTTCTCCATTAGCTGTTTCATACTTTGGACTGAATCTGAGCTGGGGGCTGGCACAGAAGGAGCCGGTGGGGACACCTTAGCCCCTGTCCCAGTGACCTCCACCAGCCTGTGG